ACCGGATTCAACAGGTTCCAACTCAGTCACCTGACTTGATTGGTGGTCTGGCTAATCAGTGCTTGTGTTTCCGGTAGAGGCACCACAACACGCTCCAGAAACATCTTGGCACCCCAACGTTGCTGAAATTACATGGCTGGTCTGTTTTTGACGGAAGGAAGTCTGAAACAGAAACACCACAGAGAATCTAGCTAATTTTCTCTGCAGTCTTCTGATTCTACATCACTTTTTACATTTAGTTTCAGGTCTCTCTTGTAAATGAGTCCTCAAGGCTCAGTGTGACTAACCTGTATAAATAAAGGTTGAATGAAATTTAACTCCTAACATTCACTGCTGTAGGTGATGTTTAACCATGGTTAATTAGATGTTTAACACTTGTGCAACACATGACCAGTTCAACAGAGAAGACGATGTGTGGAAATTATCTGCTGGAGATGGGTGGAGAAGACGTGACTAAGTTACAGACACAATACCAGAAATTCATGATCTAGCTGCACTGACTGATACATGTTCAGTCATGTTCTGCTGAAATAGCTGGTATAAAATGAAGCCACATGAGGGATGGAACAAAACGGCATCTGCTGGAAACAAGTTTATACTGATACTTAATTAACTAGCTCTCTCTTGTAAATGAGTCCTCGTGGCTCAATGAGACTTATCAGTTTAAATAAAGGTTGGTTGAATGAATGAATTAGTAACTACCGATAGTTGCCATCTCTATACCCATCAGCAGTGGATATAAAACTACTGCGCTATAGTCCCTAATATTTATTACCCCCAGCCAAAAGACAAAGGCACACTAATATGTTTTTGCCTATCTGTTTGTGTCTTTTTCCAAATTACTACATGAACCACCAGATGGATTTTAATGAAGCTTTTAAGAAAGAGCAATTATACTTCTTCCAAGTGATTACCTCTTGGACTTCAAAATAGCCGTCATAGCCATAGAAAATACAAAGATTGCTATAACTCAGTCAATTTTACAGGTACTAAACAAAAAAAAAAATCGATGGATAGTCATCCTCAGCACATCTCATGATATGGTGATAGGAATTCATTGTTTAGTCCTTTAAATCAATGGTTCCCAACCCTGGTCCTTGAGGAACACCATCCTGCATGTTTTAGTTGTTTCTCTCGTCCATCACACCTGATTCGGTGATTTAATTACTTCCTCCTGTTCTGCAAAAGCCTGTAAATCACCCATTTATTAAAAGCAGGTGTCAGAGCAGAGAAACAACAAAAGCATGTGGGACGGTGTTCCTCAGGGACCATGGTTGGGAACCCCTGCTTTAACGTGACATGTCACTAGCTTTTTTTAAATAATGATTAGAAGATTTTAGCTCTTGGTGATTGCAGTAATCTTGCCTTTATCCGCTGATTTATTAAGCTGTTGTTGGTTCGAAACCAGCACATGGCTTGGTCGTATCTGGAACCCGAGTCTTTGGCAGCCCAAACACCAAGAACTGATTTGCATTGAATCAGAAGCTGTTAACCAGCCCTGAAACCGCTTTGCAGGAAAAAAAAAGCTGCAAATTCACCAGAATGAAGTGAATCCACAGTTAAAGATTTGTGACTGAATAATTGCAAGCCTTCTAAAACAACCCAGAATGAAGCTTTACTAAAAACAAACAAATGCATCTTTTGATAAAGATTGCATTCGACCTCCAGCTGTGCAATAAAACATCTTGAAGTAGTTTGTAACCGGTGAACTGTGCATTCTGCCTCGTGTGTCTCCTCATAGGCGAGCACTGAATCAATAATAGCACTGTCCATTTGCTCCACTCTGTTCCAAATCAGTCTGAGTCCATCTTTCAGCTGAAATCCCCTCTGAGATGTGCCGTTATGCAAGAGGTTACATTTGGGGATTAGCACATCATTTTCAAAGGTAGACATCAAGAATTTAATAGCATTTAGAGGACACAAATCCCATGCTGTTATGTGTTTTACTTACAACAGAAGGTTTCCTGCAGGCTTCCTTGTGTCTTTCAGTTTTAGACTGATCGTAAGAAACGTTTGTTGTGGACTAAAATACGAAAAACAAAAACAGATTTTCTCCTCTTTGGAAACTTTAGTTTAGTTTTTTTTTGGTCAAAGATGTAAACCAGCTGAATATTTATTCATGGACATAATGCGCAGAATATATTTACTACTTCGCTGATTTTATTTTTCATCGGACATCTTTGATTTTTATGGTTTATTAAACCACTGAATGAGCCAAACCCGGCAGCAGAAGACAACAAAACCGGTCTAGATAATTCAAATCTTAGCTGTAATTTGCAAACTTTAACTTAATTCTCTGTGCCACTAAAAAACAAGTCCAGGAAGGAAAACGTTTATGTGCACAATATTTCACATTAGAAGCATTTCACTGCTATAAAAGCTCTTCTTTAGATATATTTTTTTTAGATTGGTCTCTTTACGATACCCAGGATAGTCGGTGGACCAAAGGAGAAAGGAATGGGGGGTGTTTGTATTTGCTTGTGTTCTTTGTATCATGTTCAGCAATGCATGCTGGAAGGGAATGTGTGCTGCTGCCTGTGAGTTGGACTGTTGCATAAGAGGATCTGCTGCTGTCCCAGAGCTTAACGGATTGAAATCTCTCTCTCACTCTCTCCTGCTGTCTCTTCTGTGTCGCCTGCCTCTTCGGCGTGCGCTGTTAGCTTCATCCATCTCTGTAATTGCATATATGTTGTATGTGTAATTATATGTTGAATAACCGTGTGGGTGCGTGCACAGATTGTGCTTTTTTTTTTTTTTTTCCCTGTTAACGTTTGAACGTTAAAAAAAGCTTGACCAATTGTGTTGGATTGTCAAATAAATGTAAAGAATTTCCTTTTTTTATTCATTTTGTTATAAAAAATGTTTTAGTACAGTGCAGACGTTTGATAATAAACTTAAATCTTGTGAAAAGAGACATTTTCTGACACTATATATACTAAAGGTATAGGACAGGGCTATTCAACTGCTGGTAAATTGCTCAGGGGGCCACAGTTACTGAAAGCCAAAAGCTCAGGGGCCAGAAATCCAGCAATATTCATTAAGTAAGCTTGTTTTACAGTTTAAAATCTAGTTTTATTTAAAAATGAACCCATTGCTGGGCCGAACTGAGCTCACCAGTGGGCCTGATTTGGCCCCCGGGCCGCCAGCTGAATAGCTCTGGTATATAATTTATAGCTTCAGAGGCTTAAAAATGTAAAATATAGATTTTATTTTGAAATATGCTGAAATGTAAATAATAATAGTAGGAATAATAATACTACTCATATTATTAATTAATCCATAGATGACACTAGACAAAGCAAAGAGTAACTTTATACCGTAATTTTCGCAAAGCAACATATTTATGTTGTTTTCCTCCATATTTATAACCCAATTTTTGGCTGGGACCTGACGATTTCATTCATTCTGACATGGAAAATATTGAACACTACCATTTTCAGCCACTAGAGGGCCCTCGACTAATATGGCAAGCCAAGTGTCTCATTAGTAGGTAAAAGTGGCTATTAATGGGACACTTGGCTTGCCATACAGAGCCACCTTCGTCTCGCTCCAGAACTCCTGGATCAAACGTCAAATCAGCTGCATTTCACCGCGCTGCACAGGTGAAATGCAGCTGATTTGACCATTAAAGTGCATTTATTAAGAAAAAGCTCAACTGAGACACACTTTTACTATAATGCCCAGCAAACACATAATTGTTTTTTGGTGGTAATCTTGTTAAATTTCGAAGAAATCCACTGTGAGTCCTCCCTCTGCGCGCTCCCACAACTGCGAATCAGCTTTTGAAATGCACCTGATTTGACCATTAAAGTGCATTTATTAAGAAAAATTTAAAGTGAGACACACTTTTGCTATAATTTCAAACAAACAAATAAATGTTTTTAAGTGTTAATCTTGTTAAATTCTTGTTAAAGTCCTCCCGTGCACGCTCCCGCGGCCACCATTTGGCAGCCAATAGATTTTTGTCACAACACCGTCCCATGTTTCCATGTGGTCAGCGGTGACGCATAATAGATGTGACTTATACGGCGGTGCGACGTGTACGGCGGCAAGTACAGCACCTTAATCTTAAAAATATATATAATCATAAACTTTGCTGCAATAATTTTTTGGCCGTATAAAAAACAAAACCACTTTTAGATATACTGGTTTTACGGGATTACCACCCAGCTGTAAATGGAATAACACTGCTCATCTTGTTACAGTGCAGAATTGCACTGATAAAAATCTGCATCTTGGCCTTCAGATGGATGCTACTTTGACACTTCCCACCTACATAAACATTTTTTAAAGACAGATCACACCCCCAGATGGCAGCAGCACTTCCCTGCTGCATCAGCCCACCCATAGCAGACCTAAAAAAAAGTCTAAAGTCTTAAAGACCAAAAAGTTCATCCAAACTCAGCAGATACAACTTTTAAGAAGATTAATGTACTAATGTGTAGCTGCGGTTATATCTGTGGTGCTGGTGCTCCTAATCACAGTTTTTTAAATGTCATTTTTTTTAATCATTTACAAGCAGAACGCTGCCAGCTTTTGTAATATCTATGTAATAAATTAACTCTAAATCAAATGCAACTGATAGTTGGGTTCTCATGTTCAGGTTGTCTGAAAAAAAAATTAACCAAATTGCTCAAGTTGAGCATTTTTGTCTCATGCCAACCCTGAAATCTGTCACATCTATTTATCAAAGGGCAAAACTAAGATAATAGGAATGCTTTTAAGCACGGCGTAACAGATACAGGGTTCCTGTTCAACAATAGCAGGAATGAATAAAGACTGTAATGATGTTAGGATAACAGTTATAAAGACAATGCTGCTAATGGTGATAATGATTCAAGTGCTGGTGAGAAGTGTAATTCTAGTGAAGATAATGACCTCTTGCATGTGGGCTGGTGTTTGTTTGCGCTCGAGGACAGCCCCGCTGCTGCACTCGCTGTGCAGCTGTGTAATTTCTCACCGATTTACTTGGAGTTTCTCTCCGTCTTCTCTCTGTGCAGATTGACTTGGAGCCAGAAGGGAAAGTGTACGTGGTCATTGATCTGTCTGGATCCTCCACTGAAGGTAAGTTCACCCCAGATTCAGTGGTGCAGACATAGCCATAAATACACAAAGGTTTGTGATATGACCATGTTGTGTGGCACAGCTGGTGGAAAGGAGCTAAAAAAAGTGGACCTTATTAGCAGTAATTAGCTGCGTGTGTTTCACTTTTATTGTGCATCTCATTACACTTTAGTACAACTTTCTGTAAGCTTGACAGAAATGTCCAAATAACTTATGCTTTACCATTTGAAATGATTACTTTTGTTTTAAAGCAGGGGTTCTCAAACTTTTTGGGTTCCCTTACAGGGGAGAAAACGTTGCAGGGACCCCCTCATAACCCTCATGTTTATTAAATAATTTTCTTCAAATTGTCTCTTTAATACAACGGAAATATTTTTGTAGCATAAATACTTGAGACCTGTTCTTTAATAGTGATAATACAATTTTTATACTGTTAAACATGGGGTGTTTTTCATTCAAGACACACTTAAATAACACAATTTTTAATTTCAACTTCCAAAAATTACAGTTTTGAGAAAATGAATGGCATCAAAAACCCAACAAAGTTCAATTCAGGTCATCTGGATGATTTCTTTTTTTTTTTTGCTGAGACGTTTCGTCCTTCATCCAAAGGACTTCATCAATCCGAGGAGCCACAAACAAACTGTCCCACAGCAGCACACTCCTTGATGAATCTTGAAAGTTCACACTCCTCCTTGAACCTTGATGTTTTGAACCGCTTTAGCTGTGGCTGCCTCAGAGGAGTCGACGGGGGAGAGGGCGGACCCCAGAAACCATCTTATCACCAGCAAACTGGTTGGTCCACTATGGGAGTATGCTGCGGGATTGAGTTTATTTGTGGCTCCTCAGAATGATGAAGTCCTTTGGATGAAGGATGAAACGTCTCAACAGAAAAAGAAACTGTCCAGATGACCTAAATTAATTTTGTTGGATTTTTTTTACCTGGATTATTAAGCATGAACTTTGAAGCATCAAAAACCACTTTAAAACTTTATTCACTTAATGAACATAAATGTATTGCCACTTTATGTGCTGCAACAGCAGTAGTCATATCAAGTAACAGGGCTTAATTTGTAAACCAGTTGTTGAACGGAAATAGCGAGTGGCAAAAATATTAATTTTTTTAATTTTTTGCGGACCCCCAGGGGTCTGGGGGCCCCAGTTTGAGAACCATTGACCTAAAGCACAATAAAGGAGATATGGTTAACATGTCAGCAAACTTATGCCTTTAGCTGACAAAGTGAATGGTTTGAGTGAACTAAAACAACAAAGGTGACCTGAAAATTACCTGAGAGGCAAAGAACCTTTAATATTTAATGTAGCTAATATTCCTTGAAGGAATGCACACCGCCTGCAGCCTTTCATGCCAGAGTTTTAGATTAACATCATGTTATGTTGAGAAATTATGAAGCTTTAGCTGTTTAGGTCAGACCTTTAAACCTTAACAATAACATTATGAACAATCATAAGAGCTCATGCTCAGAGTAAATGTTGTGTATGACTCTACAACCACACCACATTTTAATACACTATCTATTAAAATAGCTGTTTTATAGCCAGTTGAGTGTTTTCTTATTTTAGTTAGCTATTGCGCCCATCTTGAGATGGGTTGGCTCCTCAACTTAATCAGTAGCAAACGTAAATTCAAAGATTATTTCCTAAAAGTTTTAATAGAATACAGTTAAAATGTCTGTTATTATTTAGCTAAGTGACACACAGCATTGACCCCATGCAGTTATTGACAAAATTTAAAAGAAGATGTGTTGGAGTTTAATCTCAGCTATTACTAAAACGAATTCTAGCTTGAAATTTGTATAGCTGTCTAAATTATATCCATTTCTGTGTTTGATAAGTTGGATTAGCTGTGGCAGCCATTTTGAATTGGCTTGACTCCAACTGTTAATCAGATGCAGATATACATCCATTGATTAATTTCTGAGAGTTTCATCCAAATCCATCTAGTGGTTCATGAGATATTTTGCTAACAGACAGGCAAGGGTTAAAACAATCTTTGGCCTGCCTTTCACCTTTTGGTGGCGGGCAATAATTGCTGTTCTCAATACCTGGTGTTTTTTTTTTTGTTATTTTGCATCTCTGTATATTTTTTCCATGTTTTATTTTAGTTAAGTCTCTTAAAACAAATAACTAATTTACCTGCTTAGTTTGGTCGGTAATTTTCCAATACATGCACAATTAAATTGCCTAAATGTATTTTTTATTAGTATAAACATTTTTAAATAGCACACATCAAATGTATCTATTCTGAATTCCAGTTATATAACGTTGCATGGATGTAAAAGGCCATCAGTATTAAAAAGTTCATTATTATTAATAAAGCAGATATTTTCATTTCATCACAAAGTAGTTGTTTAACTGGATA